AAATCTGATATCAAAAAGCAGGAAAAAGAAAGGATGATAGGTAGATGAAACATTCAAAACAAGTTGAAGAGCAGATTTAGAATCTCCTTCAATCCAGATGCATTGAATTTACTTTTGTATGACCAGATGCAAACTCCAACAAATGGCCCATAACTCTGCAACTAAGGGAGGACAATAATGGGTGCTAGCCTATGAAAACCAACAATAAAACTTTCCCTGTCATCTTTAATAAGACCGCCATACCCAACAAGTTTATCAGGATGGACTGATCCATCTACATTAAGTTTAAGATGCCCATAGTTGGGAGGATTCCATTTAACTTGAGCCTACTACCAGTAAACTAGAAACTGAATGAGAAGAATGATTAAACCAGCAATTAAAGAAGTTAAATTCATGTATAATCCTTCCAACTAACTGGTCAAGAGAAGTAGAGGTATCCTGGAAAATAAAGGAATTTCTATCATTCCAAATAAACCAGATAATAAAGCCAAATAGTCTATTCCACATAGGGAACTTGCTATAATGATTGCTAAGATTATATACCATCCAATTATCAATATTACAACTAAAAAAAAAAATAGACCAGTTATTAGAAAATATGAAATGGTTCCAAACATCTTGTGCATAAAAACAATCACGAAGAACATGAATTATAGATTCATAACCCCACACCTAGGACAAGTGGAGATATTAGTCATATGTCTATTATATCTCTCCAAGTTAGTTAATAGTCTACCATGCCCAACTTTCCATAGAAATAAACTGATTTTGGGAGGACCTTTCCATTTCCATATCAGTATGAAAATTTCAATAGAGGGGGTAGGATTCAGCAAAGATGCAGATAATAGAACATAAACAGATTTAAGTAAAAAATTACCATTATTTGTTAACTTCCAATAGAACAGATCCTGATCACTAGAACCAGAGGGTAGGGGCAGCTCTTTTATTAAATCACAAAGCTGATTAGGGAGTAAGGAAATAATATCATCTAACTGCTAGACTCCTTGAGAAGAGTATAAGGCCACAAGTTTATCCAAATCAGATTCCAGAGAGGAAAAATAGGAAAGGCTAGAAAGAGATTGATTATGGGGGAGCCAACAATCAGTCCAAAATTTTATAGTGGCCCTATCCTCTAGAACCCAGCCTAGACCTTTAGAGAAAATAGGCCAAACTGAGACCAAACCTTTCCACAGGTGAGAAACCTTAGGAGAATTATCTATGAAAGGAGTGTGGCCCAAAATAAATTTATATTTGTTTTTTAGAATCTGGGCCCATAAATTATTAAGAGTTTTAATCAATCTCCAACAGAGCTTTAGGAGATATGCTTTGTTGAGGACTTTAATATCCTTAAAACCTAAACCTCCTTCACTTTTGGGTTTACAAATTGTATCCTAATCTATAAGATGACACTTTCTCTTCCCTAAAGATCCCCATATAAAGTTTTTACAGATTTTGTTAATATCATCACAAACAGAAGTAGGGAGGAGCAAAGATTGCATAGAGTAGGCATGTATAATCAACAGGAAAGATTGAACAGGAGAGACCCTTCTAGCCATAGAGAGATTATTTCATTTTCCAGGTAGCTAATCTTTGCTTAATATTATCAACAATATGGTTAAAATCTTGTCTGTTAGATTTATGGTGACTGATAGGAATACCAAGGTAATTTTCAAACTGAGCAGAGGTTTTAATATTACAATTTTCACTAGTAAAGTCTAGACTGATAAAGGATAGAGTTAGTGTTTTTGAAAAAATATATAGAAGACTTACTAAAATTAATTTCAAGTTCAGATGCTAAACAAAAGGTTGAAAGAACTGATTTAATGATATTTGTTTGTTGTAAGTCGGCTCTAGGAACCAAGATAATAACATCAGCAAAAAATAAATTGGACAGCTTAGGGCCAAAGCTACTGAAAGAGAAGGGAATCTAGTCTCCACTAAGAATTTTATCTTGAATTAAATGAGCAAACCTCTCTAAACACAAAACAAACAAGTATGGAGAAATGTGGTCTCCTTGACGAATCCCCTTAGTGGACCAGAAAGTTTTTGAAAGACTATTATTCCAGTTCAGAAACATGGAGGGAGATGAAATACATTTATAGATAAGGTTAGAGAGAGAAGGATCTATACCCAGCTTTAAAAGGGTGTCTAAGACAAACTTCCATCTTAGTTTATCATAAGCTTTTTCTAAATCTATTTTAATAATCATAAAGACTGATCTACTCTTAATTTTATGGAAAGAATGAATAAGCTCTTGAAAGATAAAGGAGTTATCAATTCTATTGGCAATTAACTTAGTAATGATTTTATAACTAACATTACAAAGGGAAATTGGTCTAAAATATGAGGCATATTCAGGGTTGGGCATCTTAGGGATCAGGGTGATAGCAGTTTTATTAACACTAGTAATATTTTAGGATTATTGAAAATATCGAGCACAAACTGAAAAATGAACTTGGCTAAAAAAGTCCATTGATTTTTGAAGAACAGAGCATACAATCCATCATGACCTAGAGACTTAAAATTTCCTATGCTAAACAGGGCTGTTTTAACTTCATTAATAGTCATAGGGGCCTGAAGTCTATCTTTATCAATATCCCTAAGAGGAGGAAAACAAGATGAGTTAGACAAGATAAAATCAGATGGATTGGGATCATGGTAAAGGTTCTGAAAGTGTTGAGTAACCAAATTTCCAAGCTTAATAGTATCATATTCCCACCTATGATTACTATCTTTTAGAGCTTCTATAATGTTTTTATATTTGCGGATCATGGTAGCTTTATGATAGAATTTAGTGTTTCTTTCCCCAAGGTTAAGCCAATTAACTTTATGGTGATGAAACCAATAACACACTTCCTAATCTAATATCAGATGGTATTCTTTCCAAAGGAACACCTTAAGATTGGTTAGATAAAGATTCTCTCCAATGGCCAACTTACAAGATATACCCTTTAACCTGCTGAAAATACGCTTCTTTCTTTTAAAATGTTCCTAAAAACATTCTGATTCCACTCAGAAATATTATTCCTAAATCTGTATACATTACCAGTCTAAGAACTAGAACTGATCCAAGATTTCTTGACTTGATTGGAAAAGTCACTATGGGATAACTAGGGAGCCAGGAATTTAAAGCTTTTATTCTTATTGTAGGAGGTGTTTTCTTCCCTAATTTTCATCCAAAGACCCATATGGTCAGACTTAGGGATGGAGATATGCAGAATAGAGCTATTATGAAAGATGGTACGCCAACTATTATTAGCAACAACCCTATATAATCTTTCCTTAAGTTGGCCTCTCTGCTAGGTATTATGAATGTATATTTATTGTTTATTGAAGTTTACTTGTATTGAACTTTGATATATACTACCTTCAATCCTTTTTATAAAAAATAAAATGGAATATTTTTTTGTTCCTTATTATAAGAAATAAATGATAGATTCAAGATGCATTAATTGTTAAATTTCTTTTATACTTTTCTTTTATTAATATTATTAAATATATAAATTATTAACTATACCATTTAATATTATGAATATTTTTAAAATAAAATTTATATTTATAAAAAACATAACTGACTTAATTATTTTTCTCGATCTTGATGATTTAATCTTTTATTTCTTATAAAAAAGACCAGAGGTAGTATTCTTTTATACTTTATATGAAATATAAACATATTTATTATTCTAAAAACATAAAATATATTTAATTATTTGTTTAATAAATAAAAATATAAAAAATTAAAAGGATTTAAAATCATTCTATCCGCAATACATTACCTACAAAACTTTGGCTACATAAATGGGAGGACATCCTGTGTGTGTGGGCATTTATTCAAAGAACAGATCATGCCCCGTGGGAGTAACTGTTGTGCATATCCATGAATTTCAAAGGCTACGCAGAAAAATAAAGGCTCGGGATCATGTTTTTATATTATGACTCCCCATTTTCCCCGAACATAATCATTGATGCATGGAGTAGCAGTTAGTCTTCCCAACATTACCAAACACCCCATTTATTGTGTCATAAATTTATGATGGTTAATTTGTAAAACATCCTTTTTGTGTCAGATATTTGGTGCCCCATAATCTTCTATTCATCATTTTGGATAGAGAATAGAAATAATGGCCAGCTACTTTTCTTTATTTTTATTTTTCAAAGCCTGTTATATGATGTTTCGTTCCTCCTTCACTATTTTTTAATATAAAAATAGCAACGCCTAAATTTTGACTCTGTATGGCATTTGATTTGAACCATAGATTTGACCAAAAAAAAAAAAAACGTAGATAGAGAATTTTGGATTGCCTAAAAGCTAAAAAACCATTTATAGAACCTGAATATAAACGGGAAGCACTATCAGGCAATATTTGGGAGAATCCACTTAGTGCTCTGACCTTTTGTTGGCTTTCTTTTGGAAACGAATAGTAATTAGTAAGGTGGTATTTTGCAGCAAAGATAAAACCCACTTGTCTCTCCCTCTTATACATTGATTTCCTCACACGGACATTGCAAGGTTTGAAAGCATTGAAAGCCCAATTTCTGGAGATTTGAGACTCTAGTCTAGGAAAGGAATTTCTGGGGGAATTTATTATTCAGTCAAATTTGGTAAGAAACAAAGCTACAACCAACATGGGATCTTTACTTGCCCATCATCTTATTTTGAAAATTCCATGTCCTATTCTTTTTCGTATTATGTGATGGATTAAGAATCTATAATTCAACAAGCGGTGCAAAAAGGGAAAATATTATTTCACACTAAATATACCTTTGAAAAAGAAAAAATAAATAAATTTAATGAGTAATATTATAATAAAAAATGAAGTGTGGAAAGTCACGTTGCAGCTAAAAGGTCCCATGCCCAATCCGAACCTGTGTACATGTACATGACATAACCCGAAGCACTTTTGGCGACTACAAATTCACTCCCACCGGTCACTTCTCCCACATGCCATGCCCTCCTCCATCTCATCTTTTCCTTCCCCTGAATCTCACGAAATCAGAACATTCTTCTATCCTCTGTTTTCCAACTATATTCACATTCAATGGCTGCAATTGTGTGCCACGGGTTGCAGTCATATCTCGAGTCTCAACTAGTAGAGTCAAGAATACACAGTCACAGGCTTAGGCTACCATCCCCAAAACCACTCACCCCTCCTCAACCACAAGCACCCATCGATTTAGCCTTCAAATCCTGTTTCTGGGAACCAGACACCAAACCCCATCGTGAGGGTGGTTGTGGTTGGACCTCCATTGAAGCCCTTTCCAACGTGTCCCAATGCGCCAAAGAAAGCAGCTACGTCCTCCCTCAGTCATACTCATCGGTGCGACTCAGCCCCCAGAGTTTGGAGCTGTGCACTGAGAACTTGGGGAATGAAACGGGAAGTGACATGATAGAGAGTGGCATTGATTTGCTATCTTCTTCGGAAGGTGAGAATTTGGTGAGAAGGGAGGAAAAAAGAAAAACGCGTCAAGTTTTGGGAGCTAAGGAATTTCCACCTCCTTTGACAACGATAAGAGGGTCAGAGTCTCTACGTGTGAGATCCCACAGAGAAGATGGAAGGCTTGTACTTGAGCTCACCAAAGTCAATGTCCCATCTTGTTTCCAAGCTCAGAGGAGCCATGGCCGCCTTCGCCTCCGCTTTTGGACTCACCCACAAGATCATGATCATGATGATGTTGATGTTGACATCCAAGAACAATTTGAAAATGGTCAAACACAAGACGTGGAAGAATATGATGATGATGATGAAGAAGATGAAGAAGAAGATGTTGTTGATACTGAGAATGAGGGTGGGTGGGAAGAGACCAAAGGCCACAACAGTTGGAGGAGTATTGAGGGTGGTGTGAGAATGGAAAAGTATGAAATTGAGAGGCGAAGCAGGTGCATAGAAGGTGACCATGAAAACAATGATTTGTTAAAAAATTGGGGGGAGCCTCTTTGGGTGGCAACTTCCTAGTCCTTAACCTCTCTCTCATTTAGATCATCTCTCCATAATATCATTTTAAGAATTTTTTGCGTTTGAACTTTACTCAATATCCCTTTTTCTTATTTTTAACCCCATCCTAATGAATCCCCGTGTTCTTTTCTTCCCCATTAAACGTGTTTGTAGGTTGGTAGTTATTATCGTTACTCTGTTTCTCGGGCATGCGTGACAACAAAACACGAAGAGACAGTAGCACGGTCAAAATTCAGCATTTTCAGAAATTAATTTTAAGAAAAAATAATTAGTTTTTACAGAAAATTGCAAAATATTATTGTTTAAAATAAATTAATCCAAACGTATATATTTGAATTCAACATGCCTACAAAGTTTGCAGAGAGATTCGCCTTCGCCATTGGGACCTCATGCATGTATTACTGTTTACTAATCATTGCAAGATTATAAGGAGATATTTCCTATAAATACAATTAAGTTCGTCGGTTGGAAAAGAAAATGATCAATAAGACTAAAATATAAAATAATAATTTTATCTTTTAAGTGATTTGATTTAGGTTCAGTTTAGATAAATTTTTTAATAAGTAATCATAAGACTAAAATATTAAGCAATAAAATAAATCAAATCTCTTTTATAACTTATAATCAATTTATATTTATTTTATATTTGTATAACTCTAGCTCTTATTTAACTTCTTAAAATTTAATAAAATAAGTTGTTAATTTATTAAAGAGTTTTATTCATTTATTTTTCTTATATTATCCACCAGATTACTTAAACTACACTTGAATTCAAAACACATAACAGCCCCCAGATAATATGGGGAAAAAATCATAGTATTAAGATGGAAACATGGACATTTTAAGTCTCGTGGTGCAAGTATATACAACTAAGATTTACCCAGTTGCAATCCCAGGAGCAATACAAACTTGAAACAAACGACGTTTACGATGAAAGTAAACCTAAAACACAGTTTACACTACAAATGGTGTGGCATTGAATGACAATAACCGTTGTAAAATAGAGTAACTAGAGGTTTACTCTTGTTGACACCCCTAAATACCCGCCTATCGTTGATGGCAGAAAAACAAAAACATAAACATCCACAAGCGAAAAGAATGTGTCACTGACTCAGCATGATTTGGTTCGTCGTGCTATTCAATCCTGCAGTGTGTACGGTCTATTCCACTGAAATCCTCTTTTCTTCTCTTCTCCAAAAGGGCATTGGCTAAACCTGTGTCTTTTCTTAACTAGTTCTTAACCTTTTTGAGAGACCCAACGCAACCTACAACAGAACTGAATTGAGGACTGTACAGTGTACACCATAACAAACCCATGAATGGATTCGTATCTGTGTCGTACCAATTTGGGGGACCAACACATCCGTGACTCTGAAACAAAATCAAAACCATTATCCTGTCTTTATGATCAACTTGTGAGGGTGACCAGTGGAAGTGATCCATTGTACATTCAAAAATTTGTAAACGGAAATCTATTGCAAAAATTATAATTAATAATATTAAAATAAACGTAAATTCATAAACTTTAAATTTAAATACAAAGATAGTACATGCTTTTCTTCTAAGGGTGATGATCAATTAGACTCATCCCACCATGTGCCACCAACCTGTGCCCGTAGTTTAGGACTCGGGGAAGTGCTTGTGTCTCCGTACCCTCTTCTCATGTGCTAACATGAAGTCATGAAATTGATACAAATAGGTTGATAGGATACCATTTCATTTATATTAGGATCCCTCTGGTTAGCACATGAACAAGATATTTAGTTCTTTTTTCTAAGTGAATTTTGATTTGCTTAAATATTTTTTTATTTTTCGGTTTAGGTGTGTTTCTTATGCTTAAATAAATTTGTACTTAAGCTAGTGATATAACTATGAAACAGGTTTTGTACTAAAAGCCTTATAAGAGGTTAATAATTTTGACTTCAAATGAATGTTGACTTGCTTAAGCAATAATAATACTCCCTTTTAGACAGAAAGTATACAATTTTAGATTTTTATATTAGCTTAAACAAAACTAAATTAACTTAAGTGAATTTAACTTAAACCTAAGTAAGTATAATTTAACTTAAGCCAAAAATGAATTGAGAATATACCATTTTAAAATGTTAAAATAGCTTAAGCGATAATTACATTGCTTAATCACCACTAATTTGATTTAAGCAAAAAATGGACATAGCCTAATGTTTATCAATTTTTGTGAAAATACTTAAGAAAAATGTGGTGCACTTAAGTGAATTAGGGGTGCTTAAGAGAAATAGGTGGGTTTAAGTGAATAATGCACAAAAAAAAGTTAAATAGATAAAATAAATACATGAGAATAATGCATTCTATTGTATTTGGTTCAGATGTTGTGGGATGCAACATTTCATGGATGTCATGTTAGGGATGGATGATGGTGTTGATGAAAAAGAACTAAAAAGTGCATGTGATTGCTCCAATGGGTTTGTGCAATAATTATTTATAAATTTAGCGTGATAAAATTTTTCACTTGATGCTTAGTTTAAAATTGTTGGGTATTTGAACACTGCAATACAAAGAGCGGTTATCAATGCTAGTAAGTCAAGATTATTGTTACACCAGTAGAAGGGCAAGTCATGGACATGGCAAACTGGTGAATCTTTTTAAAAATCACAATTGTGATGTCGATTGTGATTCTTTCCATAATGTTGAAGATGAGGTAATCTTGAGGCATGCATAGATCTCATGTATGAATGATTGGAGTAATATTTGTAAAGAGAAATGATATCCATATATGTGCTAATGTCTTCAAACTCCCCCTCTTGAACCTCATTAGCTTGCTTTGATGGTTCGTTTCATAGAATTTGTTTGGAATGTATAAAGACTTAACTAATCATACTCACTTGCCTTGATGTCCATATCTCTCATTTGAATAATACAACTCGTTTAATCATTGATCAACTTTAATTTCATTTTGGTCCTTGTTCACTTTTAGCTGTATTTCTCTAATCATGTAAATGTTGTTAATGCATATTGTAAAATTATCAAATGTATTTATTATATTTGTTTAACTTTTTTTTTTGCATTATTCACTTAGGTCCATCCTATTTTGCTCCCCTAATTCACTTAAGTGCACCACATTTCACTTAAATTTTTTTTTTAAATTGATAAACATTAGTCTATTTTTCACTTAAGTCAAATTAGCAGCGCTTAAGCGATGTAATATTTGCTAAACCCATTTGGTATTCACTAAACTATTTTAATAGTCTAAAATAGTATGCTTTCTTTTTAATTTTTACTTAAATCAAATTTCACTAGCTTAAACTAAGTTAAATTCGCTTAAGTTAAATTTAGCTTCACTTAAGTGAATTTAAAAGTCTAAAATGATATATTTTCTATCCATTTTTTGATAACCCATGCTTTACTCGTTTAAGCAAAATTATTGATTTCTTACAGTATTTTCTATACAAAATTCCCTCATACTTACATTACTCGCTCAATATGTTGATTATACATTACTAACTTTTTTATACAAAAAAATTTACTATTTAATAATAATTTTTATCATGCAAAATGTGTGACACAAACAATTTGACAAAAGTGAAGTAAGTGAAAGATAAAAAATGTTTATATATAGAAACTAAATAAATTGAAAAATTTTAATAATTTTTTTAAAGTGTTAAGAGTACATAATACAAATGTATATATAATAAATTTTTAATAAAAATTATATAATATTATTGAATTTAACACATTGATTATACAATGGTAACTTTTTTGTACATTAAAATTTACTATTTATTAATAATTTTTATTATGCTAAATATGTTATGCGAACAATTTAACAAAAGTGAAGGAAGTGAATGATATAAATTTTTATATATAAAATAAGAAATTCTAATAATTTTTTTAATGTGTGTTTGAAAGTATATAATAAAAATTTATAGTATATAAATTTTCAATAAAAATTACATAACATTATTAAATCCAACACATTGATTATACAATGCCAACTTTTTTAATACATAAAAATTTACTATTTAATAATAATTTTTATCATGACAAATGTATGACAAGAACAATTTGGCAAAAGTGCATACCATGTCAGAAATTGAGAAAGTACTCTTGTCCTTAACCATAGTTTTTGAAGAGTAAAAATAATTATAAAATATTAATATATAGTAAAATTTATATTATTGATATTCCATTATTAATATATACATTTATATAAATTTTAATATATATTATATTCACCTAACATAATATTAATATATTAGGTGATAAAATTCGTAAAAAGTTTAAAGATGATCACGGTATAAGATTAGGACTATATTTAATAAAATTACGTTATAGATGATTTAAGAGTTTGTAGCGTATTAACTTATTAAATATAAAAAAAAAATGAAGATGTAGCTTTTAAAAAACTATCTAAAGAAAATTTTTGTTTTAAAAAGCTAACTATCAATATTTTTGTTACATTTTATCCTTCATTTTTAAAAAGACAATTTACATTTCATACAATTAAAATTATATTACATTAATTTTATTATGATTTTGTTATTTTCTTTTATGTTTTTCTCCTATTTTTTATTTTAATAATTAACAATATATTTTGTTAAATAAAAATAAATTAAGTAAATATATAATATTTTTAAAATTTTAATAAATAAATTATTTAAAATAATTCATGTAATATTTATTGATATAATATATTAAAATTAATAATTTTAAAAATAAATTTAAATTATTGTTTAAATTAATAATATTATTTTTAATAAAATATATTAAAATAAGTTATATCAAATTTTAATATAATATTATATCTCTTTTTAAGTTATTTAATATAAATCAGTAAAAATTATAAATTTACAACTTTTAACTAATTTCACGTTTAAGAGTTATAAATTCACAACTTTTACTTTATTTTACAAACATAACTTAGATAAATTAGATATTAAACTTAATA